CTAAGTCCAAGACTGGAACCATAGAGTCAACCATGTGGGCTCCAGGCACCTTAACCTCCACGTCACCTGCTGGCCCTGACACTTTTTTTCCAAACTTACTTGAGGCATCTTGATATCTTGATATGCTATGTATGAATTTAGCCAAAGCCCATGCATGGCTAGCTGCAATTCAAATTCCAGCCCCCAGGGCTTGAAAAATCCACCAAGCATGCGTGTGCATGCCCAAAATCCTGACAAGATAGAGAAATGGAGGAAAAGTGGCAGTATGAGCATGCCCCACTAGGGAGGTTTTCATCTTCTCTCTCTGGCAAGTGCACACATCCTCGGGCAATAAAAACTTATTTTACAATAATCAATATAACAGAAGCTAGAAAAGAACATTGGATGACAGAGTCAGCAAATTCACTTGAGATCATCATTTTAGGATCTATTTTGAGGAATAGGGGTGGTATTTAAATAATTACTTATATTTAAATAACTGCACCGCTAATGGAAAAGAGGTCTCTCAAATTTTCAGAGTCAAATTCACAGGTATTTGAGACCAGCAGGTGGAGTAATGACTATGATACTAGACTTCCATGTAATTAACTGCAGTTTGAGTCCCAGACCTGGCAGCTTAAAACAAAGTAAACTTAAAAACACCAGGTGCATGTGCATGCATGCCCAAGATCCTGAGAGGAGAATGGAGGAGAAGGGACTGCAGTGTAGCCATTCCCGCTGGGAGAGTGATTTCTCACTTTCTGCTTCTGTCTCTCTGGTGAGTACACATGTCCTATAGCAAAAATCTCTCTCTTTAAAAAAAAAGAAAAAAAAGAAAAACCAGGTATCTTATTAGTACCTATAATGTACAAAACCCTTTTGCAACCTCAGCCACATAGATGATGAAAAAGAGATTAAAATAAGGCGGGGTAAGAGAGAAAGAGCAATATATATGTGTAACACCACCTCCTCCTGAGCTGGAGAGAGCTACATGGTTTGGTGGGTCTGAGGAGGAGGGGTGTTCTTACCATAGGCTAAAGGGCATCTTGAGTATGAAAAAAATGGGAAGACATTCCAGGACAGGACACAAAGTCGCCACATGGAATTTTGAGTAGACCAATATGAAAAACTGATTGAGGTCTGGCTCCATGGCATAGTGGTAATAAACTGCTCAAGAGAAAGTCAATCCCACATGGCCACCATGATTCAAATCCCCAGTGCGGTCAGCCCAAAACACCCTGGGCACAAGTAAAGTTCCCAGGATCTGATGGGCTGAAGAGGACTGTGTATGACCAGGCCCTGTAAACGGTGCTCCTCTCTCTCTTACATGTGTACACACATGCTCTGTTATGAATAGAGAAAAAAAAACTGAGATCAATAAAGGGAAGGTGAAAGAGGGAAGGCTAATGGAGGTAAGACTAGTTAAAGAGAGTTTGGGTTATTCTGTTACTTCCCAGAAAACTAGCTTCAAGAGTTCCTGCTTGAATCCACAGCCACAGGAAGACTGAGGTAGGCAATCACATGATCACCTAGAGTGGTAATATAATACCCAAGAGAAGCCCAGTCTTGCTTTCTCCCCCTTTTAACAAACAATGGGAAAGAAAGATTATGTATTATTTACATAATGAAAGAAAATTAAAAATTATTGTGGGGGCAAATTGAGTTTGAGCCAAAGAAAGAACTAGTGGCCTAGTAACAACGGCCCAGATCGGTTTGCAGCCCAACTTAAGCAGGCCTGGTAGAGTGGCATGTACCTGTGGTCCTAGCTGAGAAACTAGGACAAGATCGTAACATGGTAACAATACCTCTCTCCACATCCCTTCTGTACTCCTCTCATTAAAGCAGAGAGGGAGGAGGATAAATTGGTACTGTACAGGAATAAAACAGCATGCAGAAATCAAGTCTAAATACTTTGAAAACCCATTCATTTCTTTTCTTTTCTTTTCTTTTCTTTTTTAGAGATTTTTGCTAAAGGGCATGTACACTCACCAGAAAGACAGAAAGAGACAGACAGACAGAAAGCAAGAAATCACCCCTCAAGGGGGAGAGCCACGCTACAATACTTTCTCCTCCATTCTCCTCTCAGGATCTTGGGCACGCACGCACACACACTCCACGTGAGTTTAAGCCACCAGGTGTGGGACTCGAACCACAGTCAACTACGTGGAAGTCCAGCGACATTGCCATTACGCCAACTGCTGTTCCCAAAAAGCCATTCATTTCTTTCTTTCATTTTTTGCTATAGGGCACATACGCTTGCCAGAGAATGGGAGACAGAGAGATAAAAAGCAAGAAATCACCTCCCCAGGGGAGAAGGTCACACCACAATCTCTTCTCCATTCTCTTCTTGGGATTTTGGGTACACACGCACACACACCCTGCATGACTCTGAAGCTGCCAGGTCCAGGACTCGAACTGTGGTTGATCATGTGGGAGTCCAGTGATGTAACTATTTTGCTATCTGCTGATTCTGAAAAGCCATTCATTTCTACAGTAAAAAAATTACCTGTCAGAACAGGTAGACAGACTAAGCATGGCAACCTTATCATTTCTACATACTACACTCTAAGGTCAAGGTTATTTCTAATTTACTGTTATGAATAATATTCTCATTTATCTTTGGGGAAAAAAATAGGGTGTAGGGGCAAGCAGATGGTGTAGTGCTTAAGGCACTGGACTCCTATGTGGTCAGCTAACGTTCAAGTGCCAGACTCAGAGGCTTGAAACTCACACCTAGTGCATGCATGCAGCCCAAAGGGACTGCAGTGCAGCCATCCTCCCTGCGGGCTGATTTTCCACTTTCTGGGTCTTTGTCTCTCCAGCAAACACATGTGCCCTATAGCAAAAATCCCTTCCAAAAAAAAAAAGGTTTAACCCACCAATAAATAGAAAGTTCTGAATTATGCAAAATGAAAACTTAAAAGAATTACTAAATGGTATCACTTTCAAACCAATTTTTTTAAATCCTCATCCCACACATCTAATACAATGTATACGAATAAGATCCTTTTAATTTGCGTGATTCTTTTTTAAAAATTATTTAATTTACGTATGATAACCATTCTTATTGATTGATTGATTGATTGCTACAGGGCAAAATGCACTTAGAAGAGAGAGAACGTTCGCTGCCAGGTCCAGGACTCAGGCATGGTCAGCCATGTGGGAGTCCAGAGCCCAACCTCCATACTCCCTGTTGGCCCCCTTATTTTCATATTTCTACAAATACATTAATATTTTGCTACATTAAGATTTAAACAATTGCAGGACCAGCAGTTAGTGTAATGGTTATATCGCTGGACTCCCACGTAGTCGACCGTGGTTCACATCCCGAACCCGGTGGCTTAAAACTCACACCGGGAGCATGTGCGTGCGTGCCCAAGATCCCGAGAGAATGGAGGAGAAGAGATTGCAGCGTGACCATCCCCCCTGGGGGATGATTTCTCGCTTTCTGTCTCTCTGTCTGTCTGTCTGGCAAGCGCATGCACCCTATAGCAAAAACCTCTCCAAAAAAAAAAGTAAAAAAAAAAAAAAAAATTTAAACAACTTGTGAATTAAGAATAAATTTGCCTCCACATAATGTAACTGAGTTAAACAAGTATGCTCCCAATATTAACATTATTTAACTCAGCTGTATATGGTCAAAATACACAAAATCAAAAAAGGATTTATTTGTAACACAATCTGACAGAGAGTGTGTATTCAGAATAAAGACTTCTTACAACTCAATGAGAAGATCCAATTAAAAAAAAATAGTAACACACACCCACACACAGGAGTGGTCACTAAGCATATGAAAAGATGTTCAACATTACTGATCATCTGGGAAATACAAATTAAAATCACAAGGAAATACTTAACACTCATTTGATAGCCAAAATTTAAAAGACTCACAATACCAAGTGTCAGTGAAGATGTGGAAAAACTTTTTTTTTTTCCTAAACCTTCTTGCCATAGCGCATATGTGCTCACCGGAGAGCGGAAAAGTGAGAAATCACCCCCCAGAGGGGATGGCCACGCTGCAACACTTCTGCATTCTCCTCTTGGGATTTTGGGCATACACGCACAAGTGTTCAGTGTGATTTTCAAATTGCCGGGCCCGAGATTTGAATCATGGTCAGCCCTGTGGGAGTCCAGCACCTTAACCACCACACCACCTGCTGGCCCCTGAAACTAACTTTCAACATGAAAAGGCACAACTGCTTTGGAAAACAGTTTGCAGTTTCTTACAAAGTGTGATCAATATACACATGACCCAGCAATTCAACTCCAAGGTATTTTACCCCAGAAAAGCTAAAACATATGTTCAGAAAAGACCATAATTGTCCACAATGGCTTTATTAGTAGGCAAAAACTGAAAATAGTCCCATGTGTCCATCAACAAGTGAATTTAAAAATTGTCCTATATTCATAAAATGGAATACTGCTCAAAAAGAAATGACCAATATAAGCAACAACATAAATCTGACAATGTACTTGCTGAAAGAAGCCAGTTACAAAAGAATATTATATTTCCACTTATATGAAATTCTTGAACAAGAGAAATCTGATCAGTAGCTGAAAGGGAGGGCTGGCTCTGGAGCGTGGTGGTGAAGCACTGCCCAAGAGGAGAGGGATCCCACGTGGCAACTACAGTTCTAATTCCCAGCCTGGTCAGCCTGAAGCATGCCAAGCATATGCGCAGGATGCCCAAGATCCAGTAGGCTAGAGAACCAGAGGAAGGCCAGGTGCACACACATACTCTACCATGAATAAAGGAGGAAAAGTCATTGAGAGGGAATTGCAGTAACTTTGAGATCACGGCAATGTTACAGTTCTTGATTGAGGTGGCGGTGCAGGTGCATACGCTTGCTCAAACTTTTCGAACTGTTCCCTTCAATTGTGTGCATTTTACTACGTGTAAATTACACTTCAATAAGGCTGATTTTTTAACTAAAAAATTAACACCCTTCTAGAAAACAATTTGACAGTACCTATTAAAACTGTAAATTTGCATAATCTTGACACGGCAACTCTCCTTACAGAAAGTCACCATACAAATGTTCAAAGATACAGAAGGGTGTTCCTTTCTTTAGAGGAGATGAAACGACGTCCATCAGAGGACTAGATTACGGCGCGATGACACTCAGTAACTGCAGTAGGACACACTGCACTCACAAAGGAGAGCAGGAGGAGCAAGCTTTTCCTGTAAAGGGCCACCCGGTAAGTATTCTAGGCTTGGCAGGACACATCAGTCTCTGTTACACACAGTATTCTTTGGGGGAGGTTTTGTTGTTGTTTTACAACTTTTTAAGTTTGTAGGCTTTATAAAAAAACAACCCCTGGCTGACAGATCAGGGCTTTGAAACCCAAGTGCCCAAATTCAAATCCTTTCTCTACACTAACTTGTTACCTAATCTATCTTTTGTTATTACAGTACACACATCAAATAATGAACATAAAGCACTTAGTACAGTGCCAAGCACAGAGTCCTAAAAAAATATCGTTTTTTAATGAAGCAGATCTCTCTGGGACCAGCTTGTAACCTAGTAGTTAAGGCAGTTGGATCCCACATGGCTGACTGCCTGGTTCAAGTCCTGAACCCTGTGGCTTGAGAAACACACCGGCTACATGTATTTGTGTGCCTAAAATCATGAAAAGATAGAGGAATGGAGAAGGGATTGTTGCGTGACCTTGCCCCATAGAAGGTGCTTTCTCACTCTCTTTGCTATAAGTGCCCTCTGGCAAATTTTTTAAAAATCTTTCATACTGACCTAAAAAAAACTGTACTAGAACTAAATAATTTGATTCCACTTTTACAAAATATAAACATACTTATTTTTCCCTTTTGAGAGAGATTTCTGCTATAGGGCACGTGCACTCACAAGAAAGAGACAGAAAGTGAGAAATCACCTGGGGGGAAGGATGGCCACGCAATCGTCCCTTCTCTCAGGATTTTGGACAGGCACACACATGTAACAGGCAGTCACATGCACCTAGCTTCGGTTGTGTGTTTTTTTTGGTGTGTTTTTTTTAATTATTTAACTTTAATTTTAAACAGAGCGCGCGTGCGAGAGAGAGAAAGTAAGCCTCCTGGTCCGGAATTCAAACCACGGTTGGCCATTTGGGAGTCCAATGTCCTTAACCACCATGTCACCTGTTGCCCCCTACCAATCTGTTTGAGGTTTAAGCTCAGGTCTGGGACTCGAACCACAGCAGACTACATGGGAGTCCAGTGACAAAACCATTGTGCCATCTGCTGGTCCCAAAAATGCGTATTTTTATATGACTACATTGGGAAAAGTTTGGAAAGAAGACACACCAAATGGATAAAGGTAGGGAATAGGAATACAGAAATTAAAAAGTCATTTCATAAGGTCTAGACTGCTCCAGTATTTTAAACTGAATACATACTACTTTTATTTAAACAAGTCATTTCTAAATAGAAATAGAGAAAGAATATGTAGCATGATTTTTTTTTTAATTTATTGGTCCTACGTACATATTTCCACCTGAGAAGTGTTTGGTTCTATTAATGAGAAAGCGTATCAACTCCTAAAACCAATACTAGTGCAACAACAAATAATAATTAAAAACACTCGTACCAGGTATAGTTCTAAGGGCTTCACAATATTAATCTGTTAATTAACATAGGATATTATCATTATTATCGCCAATTTACAGATAGTGAAACTCATCGTTAAGAAGATAACGCTCCAGACACAAACTAGTATCTCGGGAAACTGAAGCCAAGCAACATGCCTCCAAAAGGCCACATCCTTAAAATTCTACTGAACTTCTCCCTCAAATACTGTCACAACTCTGGCTGAGGAAAAAATCCTCAAAGAAAACTTTTACTCTCTTTCATTCTCTCTAGGTCATCAGACTGTACTTCCCAGTACAACGATCTACTTTTAAATATAACTTTCTGGTGATTCAAGTAAACTCATTCTTCTTGTAGCTAAGATCTTTTTTTTTTTTTTTTTTTTAGAGATTTCTGCTACGCGGTGCGTGTACTGGTCGGAGAGACAGAGAGAGACAAAGCAAGAAATCACCCCCCAGGGGGGATGGCCACACCACAATCCCTTCTCCTCCATTCTCCTCCTGGGATTTTGGGCAGGCATCCACACGTGCCTGGCACTGAGCTTTAAGCCTCTAGGTTGGGGACCTGAACCATGGTTAACTACGTGGGATTCTAGCAACATAATTATTACGCCATCTGCTGGTCCCAGCAGCTAATATAACTTTAATCACCAAAGAAGCAAGCAGACAGAATGGAGACAGATAAAGTCAAGTAACAAAATCTGGATCCTCCCTGTAAATTCCCAGGTAGAAATCCTAGGCAAACCTTTACCCCTCTAGATCTGTTTCCTTATCTGTAAAAGTTCTCCTAGTATGTCAAGTTTTGTGGTCTGGTAACATATATGTACAATGTATCATTTTAACCAGTGAAATGTTACCAGTGGCATTAAGTATTACCAAAATTCTGTTATAGGCAGCAGGTCCCCAAGAAGATTAATGCAGCTGGATCCTACATAGTTGACTGTGCAATTTGAGTCCTAAACACAGTGGCATAAAAAACACACCAGGTGCACATGTGTGTGCCCCAAAAAAAAAAAATCTCAAGAAGGGTTGCTGTGTGCAGCCATCCCTGCTGGAAGATGATTTCTCACTTTCTCTTTCTCTGTCTCTCTCCAGTGATTGCACCAACTCTATAGCAAACTTCAAAAAAAAAACTGTTTAACCATACCATCCATCTACAGCATTTTTTCCTCATTCCAAACAGAATTCTGTACTCATTAAACAATTAACTCCCTATTCACCTCTCCCCTCAGCCGCTGGTAACCCGTCATACTTGCTGTCTCTAAAGTTGCCTATACCAGGCCCAGATAAATGGAATCATGTATAACTTTAGTACAAATAGTTGTGTCTGACATTTCACTTACCATAATGTCCTTGAGGTGCACTCATATTGTACATATATCATGTATAAGAATCTCCTTTATGTCTGAATATGCTCTCAATCTGTGTATAAACCATGTTGTCCATTTATTCGTTCATGGATAGATGCAGGGTTACTTTTATCAGAATTATAAATACAGAGTCCAACAGTGATGCAGCTGTAAAACGCCAACACTCCTAAGGCTGACCCACATGAGAGGGTACCAGGTTGACATAAGGCGGCCTTTCTGAGTACTCTGAGCACAGGCATACCCATGATCCCAATCCAGGGCTGGCTGGGGAGGTATCACAGTGTCAAGACCCCCCTGGGGGTACTGTCTGGCTCTGTCTCTCTGGCTCATTAAAGAAATAAATGAATCAACTTTTAAAAATAATTAAAAATAGGGGCCAGCAGTTAGCATAATGGCTATGTTGCTGGACTCCCATGTAGTCGACCACAGTTCGAGTCCCGTACCCAGTGGCTTAAACTCACACCAGGTGCGTGTGCGTGCGTGCGTGCCCAAGATCCCAAGAGAATGGAGGAGAAGGGACTGCGGCGTGGCCATCTCCCCTGGGGGTTGATTTCTCGCTTTCTGTCTGTCTCTCTCTTTCTGGTGAGCGCAAGTGCCCTATAGCAAAAAACCTCTCCAAAAAAAAAATAATAATTAAAAATAAAGTATCTGATCTGAATATTACCATAGTAAAAAAAAAAAAAAAAAAACCACTTTGGTTTTTGTCATGTTGTGCACCAAGTAGCAGTGTGTACAAGACATGAAATAGTGCAACCATGCAACCATCTTGGGCATGTATCAGCTGAGATAATATTGGATTTAAGAATCTGTATTTCTATTATTTTTTTTAAATGATGATCTCAATAAATGATCCATAACTATACTATCACTATTTCTTTCAGTTTTTAGCTTCAAACCCTACCTCAAATATTTCAATAAAGAACTCCTGAACTGTAACAAGACATCTTTCAATGAAAAGATTTGCGGGAACCAGCAGTTAGCGTAATGGCTATGTCGCTGGACTCCCACGTAGTCGACCGCGGTT